AAATGGGTAAATATTTGTCTCTTCCTATTCGTGAGGGTCTGTGGAATTGAAGAATATGAAGGGATGAATATTCAGTGAATCAGAAATTACTGACGAATATTGTAAACGATTTTCTTATTCGTCCCCATGCCTAGTTCTGACAAGTAGGGTGGCCACATAAAGAACAGAGCAGGTCTACTCTACCATACAGCTATTAAAGGTACACAGGTGCTGTTTTTGTTTTTCTCATGTGGCCACCTGACCAATAGCTGGTACTCAGTTGAAAGTGACGCTTAGAAAATGCCCCTTTTGAACTATAATCATATTGTTGTTGTTGTTTACTCATTCAGTCATGTTTGACTCTTCGTGACCCCACCATTCAGTCATGTTTGACTCTTCATGATCCCATAGACCAGAGCATGCCAGGCCCTCCGGTCTTCCACTGCCTCCCGGAGTTGGGTCAAATTCATGTTGGTCGCTTCACTGACCCTGTCCATCCATCTCGTCCTCTGTCGTCCCCTTCTCCTCGTGCCCTCACACTTTCCCAACATCAGGGTCTTTTCCAGGGAGTCTTCTCTTCTCATGAGATGGCCAAAGTATTGGAGCCTCAGCTTCAGGATCTGTCCTTCCAGTGATCATATTATGTGCCATCAAATTGATTCTGCCATATTGGGGGTTTCTAGAGAGTCCTCAGAACTGGGTTGCCATTCCCTTCTTCTGGCACCATGCAGCTTGCCCAAGGCTATCCAGACTGGCTGTTCTCCCAGAAGGCACAATGAGGAGCTCCTGATCTCTGGCTTGGCAGCTGCATACCCAACTCACTGAGTTACCCAGCCAGCTACAACTCCCAAACATCCCTCTTACAGTCACCCTGGTGGTTGGAGGATTCTGCAGGTCCAAAATTTAACTTTTCGAAGCTCTGGTTGACAGGCTGAGCTGTAATTCTGAATGATGGTGGTGGGCTATGTTGAAGAAGGAATAACCTGGGTCTCACTCCCATGATTCTCTCTTTCCCCCTAAGATAATAACTGCTGGATAGCTCAAAGAACTGGATAACTCAAAGAACTGGATAACTCAGTGGTTGAAGCATCTGGCTGTGGAGCCAGACATTGGGAGTTCGATTCCCGACTGGGCCTTATTGACAATGATCCATAGGGTCCCTTCCAGTTCTGCAGTTCTAAGATTCTCAGATTTTAGCTAGGGCCCTTTAGGTCTTTATTGAATAATTGAGCTAAGGAAACAGAGGTTTCCTATGTACTTAAAATGACTGCTGAAATTTATTACTCAGATCTAAGTCACTTTTTGCCATTATTTCCCATTACCATGGTTAGTATGTTACCTCAGCCTCCTTTCTCAACACGTCGGAACTCCAGCACATCTGTGTTTTAGGTCAAATTTTTTCCTTTGTGATTATTGGCCATCTCTGGCTGTCGCCAGCGTGAGTAAGAAAACTCTGAGTCATGGGGTTTTACGTAGTTCATTCCCCCCCTCCTTCCTCACACTGTTGTCAAAAGGAGAGTAGGCCCATGACGGAAGGCCCATTTCCCTCACCATGACAAAATGAGAGAATTAAAGCAGCTCCCTGTCTTATTGGCAGATACAGACTTCCACTCTGGTCTGAATAACAATTTAGATTCCAGATTGCCTGGGAAAGCAAGACAAGAATAATGAAGAGAACAAGGCCTCTGAAGCTTGTCTTTACTTCCACTGGTGCTGCTGATAGATTTATATCACTTTTTCTTCTGCCTGAAAACCCCTAGTTTGGCCATGATAACAGCCTCAGCGCAGTGGTCCCCAACCTTGGGTCCCCAGATGCTCTTGGACTACAGCTCCCAGAAATCCTGGTCAGCACAGCTCGTGGTGAAGGCTTCTGGGAGTTTTGGTCCAAGAACATCTGGGAACCCAAAGTTGGGAACCGCTGTTGGAGGAAACACTAAGGTCAGAGGGCATGTGTTTTGAACTCCCATTGAAATCACGTTGTGCCCAGTTTAGCTAAGGGTGTGCACTTTGAGGTCCAACTGATTCTCATGAAAGCAGTTTACAAATCTGTGGACTTACACCCAGGTACATAGGTACCGAAGAGAGATGGGGGTATTCGTATATGAACCCCCCCCACAAGTGGACATCACAAGGGTCTGTCCCCCTGGGGCTGGACTGTCCACTCACCTTTCTGCTGCTGCTGGGGGCTCCGGGCTCCCTCCTTATTGCTCCGGAGTGCCCAGATGGCCAGCTACTCTTTGACCTGGCAGTGAGGCTCGACGTCCTGCCTCCTGCCAGGAGTGGCTAATTGACCATGAGCTCCGGAGTGATAGGAGCCCATGGCAGTGGCAGATGGTGAGTGGTCGGTCAGGCTACAGGGGCCTAGACCCTCATTATCTGCACCTGCGTGGGGAGATATTTGTATTCGTATATGAATATGAACACCCCCATGTCTAGTACAGAATTAAGCTTCTACTTATTCACTCCATTGAGTTCAATGGAACATTGCATGAGAGCTTAAGCAGGGCACAATCATTCCTTGTAATGTTTTGTTTCATAGTTGCCTTACTGTGTTTGGCTGTTACTTATCCCTGTGAGATGGGAAGTGTTAAAATATAAATTCATTCATTCATTCATTCAATTCTATTTATTTATTCAATTCAATTCAATTCAATTCAATTCAATCCATCCATCCATCCATCCATCCATCCATCCATCCATCCATCCATCCATCCATTCATTCATTTGACTTTCATACCGCCTTCTGGCCGCAGGGCCACTCTGGATTCCAGCTGTCACCTCATGGGTAGCGCCACATAAAGAGCATTACAGTAGTCTAATCTTGAGACCAAGAAGTGCATGGACCACCAGCGTAGTGAGGGACCCAATGGGAAGGAAGGGATGCAGCTACAGTACGTGATCTGCCTCAGATGGAGAAATCCTGCATGACCACAGGCATCACCTGAGACTCCCTCAATAGTGCTGGCTCCAGAAGGATGCTCAAACTGTGAACCTCATTCTTCTCAGAGCGAGTAGCCCCAACCCACAGATACTAGGGGTGCCCATTTGCAGGATTGCTGTCTTGTCCAGATTCAACCTCAGTCTGTTATCACTCATCCATCTCAGCCCAGCATCCAGGCAGTGCTAAAGGGATGGGACAGCATCTACTGCAGAAGGAAGAAAGAAGATAAATGTATAAATCTATAGTTACTACTTTGAGAGCCGTTGTGTTGCTGTCTTGTCCAGGTTCAACTTCAATCTGTTATCGCTCATCCATCTCAGCCCAGCATGCAGGCAGTGCTAAAGGGATGGGATAGCATCTACTGCAGAAGGAAGAAAGAAGAGATAGACATAAGTGTATAAATCTATAGTTACTACTTTGAGAGCCCTTGTGGACAGAAACATGATAAACTATTACAGTTTAAATAAAAAGGATAAGTACTCTTGAAATATTATTACACTTTGAACCCTGCCCATTCCCCCCCCTTTTTTTTTGCTTAAACCTATGAGTAATGGAATCATGATAGCCCAGCAGGACTAGCAAGTTTATCCTCAGATATGAAGTAGAGTCAGTTGAGACACTATACTCTTTCAACATCAGCATCCTGTTTGGTTCAAAATTTTCCTGCATCTGCTTGCGCATATCGCTTATTATCAGGGGGATCCCATGGCAAAGACTCAACTCAGTAGCTAAAATCCTGTTGCTTAGTGTAGTAAGTTGCAGTAGAGTGCTGATTCAACAACTAAATTTAGGTCTCTGCATTGCCACAAACTACCAAAAGGAGACAGCACTGGGTAATAATGGAAGATTCACAAAAGACGGACATACCCCTGCAGTGGAGGTCATTGCTCATGCATGTAATGTGATCCTAGAATGGGTGCTTGCAGCCAGGAGCAATCACTAGAGATGGGGTTTCAAGGTGTATTTTTTTGGACTATAGATCAGATCATTAACCATTCTGGGAATTCTTCCTGACTATCGCCTAAATGTGTCTCATAGAATCAGAATAATTGAGTTGGAAGGGGCTTATAAGGCCATCGAATCCAACTTCTTGCTCAAGGCAGCAATCCAAGTCGAGGCAGAACTGACAAAGCAGATCTGTCCAGTTTTCTCTTCAGTGCCTCCAGAATTGGCGTGTTCCCCACCTTCCAAGGTCATGGGTTCCATTGTCATACTTCTCTAACAGTTAAGAGGTTTTTCCTGATATTCAGCCTAATTCTGGCTGCCTGTAGCTTGAGCCCATTGTTGTGTGTCCTGCACTCTGGAATGATTGAGAAGAGATCCTGCTCCTCTTCTGTAGGACAAGTATTTAAATGGTGCTATCCTCTCTCCCCTTAGTCTTCCTTTCTCAAAGCTAAACATGCTCATCTCTTTCAGTCTTTCCTCACAGGGTTTGGTTTCTCTCTTTCTGTCTTTTGGAAAGGGTTTGGTTTCCATTATCCTTGTTGCTCTTCTCTGAACTTGCTCCAGTTTGTTGTCCTCCTTCTGAAAGTTTGGTCTCCAGAACTTGACACAGTTCTCTAGACGAGGCCTAACTACTGCACAATAGAGGGGGACAAGTACCTCTCTACGTCTCACCTGGTAGAACGGTCTCAGTTGGAAGGCTTTCAGCTAAACTCCCTCAAACTGCACCTGAACTTCCCTAATGTTCGTTGGGTGCCCTCTTTCTGAACAGGAAGCTCAGCCTGAAAGTCTTGTGCCGTTGAGGCCTTTCATCAGGTTTGAGGGCCTGTTCACAAACAACTGCCAGTTGCAGGTGTTTGTGAATGGGCCTTCTGTCAAGAAGAACTCCCAGAACAAACCATTATGGGATTTGTAGTCCAGAATGAACCATTATGGGATTGGTTGTTGTGGGTTTTTCGGGCTTCTTGGCCGTGTTCTGAAGGTGGTTCTTCCTAACGTTTCACCAGTCTCTGTGGCCGGCATCTTCAGAGGACAGCAAACTGTGCATTATGGGATTTGTAGTCCAAAGGTCCCAACCCTAGCAATCATATCTTCTGCCTCTTGTGGTCATTCACCTGTTTTTCTCTTCCTTCCCCAGGTTATGGACACGCTGCCCCGGGAACCAATGCGGGTAAAGCTTTCTGCATGTGCTACGCTGCTCTGGGCATTCCACTGACCCTGGTCATGTTCCAGAGCCTTGGGGAACGCATGAACACCTTTGTCAAGTACCTCCTGCAAAGGATGAAGAAGTGCTGCAGGATGAGGAGCACAGATGTTTCCATGGAGAACATGGTGGCCGTAGGTTTCTTCTCCTGCATAGGGACCCTTTGCATAGGAGCTGCGGCCTTTTCCCATTGCGAGGAGTGGAGTTTTTTCCAGGCCTTCTATTATTGTTTTATAACATTGACTACAATAGGCTTCGGGGACTACGTGGCCCTCCAAACAAAAGGGGCCCTTCAGAAGAAGCCACTCTACGTGGCATTTAGCTTTATGTACATCCTAGTGGGATTGACGGTCATCGGGGCCTTTCTCAATCTGGTTGTTCTCAGGTTGTTCATGAACATCGAGGAAGAGAGACGGGAGGCTGAGGAGCGGGCTTCCCTGGCGGGGAACCGCAACAGCATGATCGTCCACATCCAAGAGGATTCGCAACGCGCTCGGCCTCGGTACAAGGCTGAAGTGACAGACCTCCAGTCGGATTGCTCGTGCATGTGTTACAGGTCTCATGAATACACCAGCCGGGTGGTGTCCCACCAAAATTCCTTCAGCTCCAAGCTGAACCTCCAGTACTTTCACTCCATCTCCTACAAGATAGAGGAGATCTCGCCAAGCACATTAAAAAACAGCCTTTTCCCCTCTCCCGTCAGCTCCGTCTCCCCTGGGTTGCACAGCTTTACAGATAGCCACCGGCTGATGCGGCGGCGAAAGTCGATCTGAAATCATTTGCCGTCGGGAATGTTGATCTTTTATCCTTGTGAGTTTCTTTTCCTCGGAAAAGGAGCCGCAGCTGCGAGGGAGATTCCCGGTGCAAGCCAGAGTGAGGCCCATGTTCTTGAAGGAAACAAAGCGAAGGGAAAAGACAGCCTCCTCTTTAAGACTCAGCTCTGGAGCATGAAGCATGAACGAGTCCTTTTCCAGCAACGTATGCCTTACATTTACCCCACCCTCAGTAGTTGCGAGATTTGAGGTGACGGGGAAATGGGTATTAAAATTCCAAAGTTGCACACACTAAGCTGGGAGCTTCGCCTCTGCCTTTGGCACTCTTGATCGAACGGACTTTCCCCCCTTTTTTCTTCACAAGCAGGTTGCGGTGTGTGAGAGAGAGCACGGGTGTGACTGTGTGTGTTGAGCGTGTGGGTATGGGTGCACACGCACAATTCCACTACCAGTGCCATGTGACTAACAAGAGTATCTAACGAAGCATCAGGTATCGGTTTCCTTTTATACGTATTCTTCCTTTGAAGAAGTTGTATTCTGGCCTGCTTTGGCTTCCATAACATTTAAAAAGTCAAGGGGGGGGGGAGGAGGAGGGGCGGGAAGGGAAGAAAGCTGCGATTCTTTTGTTCGTTTGTTTGCTGAGTCAAGCATGCGCCATAAACCGTTAATATACTGAGTGTGTCATGATAAGATTTTCTTAGATTGTAACAACTTTTTTTAAAAAAAACAAAACAAACAAATAAATTAATGAACATGGCAAGAAAGGAAGATTGCTTTTGCTTGCCTGGGTCAAATCCTTGCAAAGATATATTTTTTTAAAAAAATAACCGCATGCATTTTGTAAAAACTGGTATGCATTGTGAAAATACAAGAGGAAAATGAAACCCTAGCAAAGGAGATGACACTAAAAAGCAAATAATACTGATTTAAAATGCATCTGCTTTAATTCTTCGTTGTTCCGACTATTTGCAATGCTGTTGTATTATTATTATCATCATCATTATTATTATTTATTAATGTTTGTGTGTCTGTGTGGGATGGTTGGAACAAAAGAGTATAATTACTCCTTGGCTCTTATGTTTACAGTTTTGTATAGCATTGAGTTCTGTGTTGTTGTTGTGTGTGTATGTGTGTGTATGTATGTATGACATTGAGTTCTGTGTTGTTGTTGTGTGTATGTGTGTGTATGTATGTGAGTGAGTGAGTGAGCGAGTGTGTGTGTGTGTGTGTGTGTGTGTGATCCAAGCACCTGTGTGTGTTTGCAACACTACCTGTATGTACAAGAATTATTATTATTATTATTATTTCTGAATGCGTGGACAACGATGGTACTCCGAAGTGGATGTATTTTTCCCTTCTTTTCTTATGTAAAAAAAAAAAAGACAGGGCATTCTTTAGTTTAAATATTATTATAAATAATAGTAGTGACATATAATCTCTAAAATATTTTTGATTTGTAAATAATGGAAACCTTGGTTGGTCTCAGGAAGAAACCGAGACAGTATCTTCTGCTTTGGCCATCGGAAAAATGTTTAATCTAAGGCTACTTCTGTGTCTCTTTTGCTTTGTTGAGCCAATACAGTCAATGGAAGCAGCTTGAGATGTTCAAAACTACTCTGAAATTTGGAACGACTGCATCACTCCTGGCTTTCTTCGGCTAGGCGAGCATCTCCCAACAGCTTCTCTCCAGTCTTTTCCTTTCAAGAAACAGGCATGCAAGAAAAGCATTGACTTGGGGTGTCATCAGACAGCTGTAAAGGTGTGCACCTTATCACACCCAAAAGGGCTGCTTTAACAGGATGATCTCCCATAAAGGGTCCCTTTTGTCTGCCAGGGAATTACTCCAGCCTGGCCACCCCAAAGGTCAAAGCCCTATGGCTGGGCATTCATTGGAGTCTGGCTGAAGCTCATTTCCCCATGTATTCTGTGACTGCTGGGAAACAGATCACAATGGACCGTTTTACAAGTGGTCCAGATTGCGATCTGTTTTTCCATGTGATCCCCCCTTTAAATAACATCAATGCCTGTTCTCAAAGAATTTCCAAATGATGGACACAGCTAGAGTGCTATGAGGAAGAAAGTAGTTTATAAAAAGAGCAGCTTCCATGATCTGAAGTGCTATATTCTGAGAACAGAACAGTTTTCTGTGCATCTGCTTGAAAAACTGACCCTTCCTTCCTTCCTTCCTTCCTTCCTTCCTTCCTTCCTCATCCATACCAACCCTTTCTTCTCTGTCTCCTTGTTCTCCAGGGAGTCCCCCGATGCAGATACAGGGGTGAGTAAGAGTGTTATTTTGGGGTTGATTTTATCGAAGAGTCTGCAAGCTTTTAAAGTCACACAGCACTCTTTGGTAGTGAATTTGATGTCTGTCTCTGTTTCATTGTGTGGGTGGTGTGAGCTCTCTCGAGGTCGGAGAGGGCGGGGATCCGAGGGTGCACATAAGTGACTGAATATCTCCACAGTTACAGAAAGTTTGTCCGGTAGCCAAGTAGCTCATTTTATGGGATCATTCTTTGATCTTCCTATTTTGCTTTGAAGTCTATTAAGTCACTTCCAGATGGTCCAGCTGGAGTCCTGTCCTGCTGGGATACACTTTTCACTTCCAGGTGTGTTGCACTTCCAGAACTGCTGCACTATTCTGGCCCAACCCTCTTCTCATCAGTTTCCACAGTGGGCGGGTAAAAGCCTGTTGCCTGTCTTGCACAGAGTGCCCTGGGATCATTCAGTTGTTCTCAAGGCAAAGAAGCAGCCGAGAACACCTCTCAAAAGACCTCAGATTGCATCTCTGCATCAGCCACTGTTCTCTGTTGGGCTGTTTCCAATGGCCCTCTGTGGGACTGAATCATCCCTTTACTCAAATACAGAGGTGGAGGAACAGTGGCCTATCCTGCAGCAAGCATGCTCAGAAATGTGAGTCACACAGAAAATCCAGAGGCTGGGCAAATAAGAATAAAATGTCAGCATTTAAGATCTAAGTATCTCTTCAGTTTTAATTCAGGGCAAGTACTGCAAGATCAGGAGAAGTTGGAGGGAATGATGCAATGTTTCCATCCAAACTGAAAATGTGAAAACTTTAAAACTTTAATATTTGTCTAGAGAATTATTAAGATTACATTCTTTTTTTAAAAAAAAAATCAGCCACACTGTTATTCATAACAGCCGGTGTGGTGCATAAAGTACGTACATGCTCTTTCAATCAATTCTAGAGGGGGTTTCTGGACCTTTGCTGATTCCTAAGTCAATTCTGTTCCACAAGCTATTGATTCTGGGTTGATTTGACTCCTCCAGCTTCTCTGAGGCAGAATGAGGGTGGAATATAAAATTGTTTCAGAATTTGAAGACACGGAAGAGAAATCATCTCTGTAACAAATCTTTATAAAACATCAACCTTGTTATTTGGAAGATTAGAGAAGCTAAAACTTCTCCAGAAAGCAAAACAGAGGAAATGCGTAGAGAAGACCTATAGAAATATTGATGGAAGATTGGATGTACGATAGGCATTTTATTTTATTTTAATAGACTTTTACAAAATCAAACTAAAAGCTCAGTGGTGGTCTTCTAGGTCCTCTGAATGGCACTTGCAAATGAAGGGGAGATAATTAAGACAGTTGTGGAACTTCCATCACAAGACGGAAGGAGGAATGTGCAATGGATTAGATGCATGATTTTTTTAAAAAGTCAGAAATATTGCTTTTCATGGGAAGGTGAAAAGCATAATACATACATACATCTCAACATCACGGTATTGATGAGGGATCAGAGCTGCATTTTTTTGGGAGTATCAGTCTCAGAACCTTTCAGCCAGCATGAAAGTCGAGAGCGGCTGCCATCCAGAAAAGATGATACTCAGTTAAATGTGGAATTAATCAGTTGTGGCAGAAGGAAAGATTCCCTACTGATCTTAATATAAGGATTAATTGTTGTATCTGTTGCATTAGATTCATGGACCACCGCGGTCGCTCTATTTTAATCTGTCTTGAAATTGCTTTGCTTCACTAAGTCAAGTTGCACTGTAGTCCAGTCCATACTGAAGGCATGCTATGCTAGTTACAACCCTAAGTACTTTCAACCCCATGTATTTTCAGAAGGGAGTGTAGAAATGGATGCGCAATCATCTGCCTCCAAGGACTAGCTTGCTCAATAGAAATGAATGAGGATTCTCATATATACAAGTATACATTCTGTGAATTGGGATGAATAGGGTACACAACAATTTCCAGTGGTCTAATGCAGACTTCCAATCTAGATTTTTTTTTAAAAAAAATATACATTTGTATCTTGTCTTTTCTTTAGGCTGTTTAAGGGGGCATGCACAGTTCTATCCATTTTATCTGTGTAACAGCTCTGTGGCTGTTGTAGTGTGCCCTCAAGCTGCTTCTGACTCCTGCTGGACCTTTAAAATAAATGATCTCCATCATCTCCCAGCATTGACAGCCCTGCCCAGCTCTTGCAAACTCAAGGCTGTAGTTCCTCATCTTGGATCTGGTCATTCTTTCTTCCTGCCTTAAACTGTTCACAACATTACTATCTTCCTTTGCCAGTGAGTCTTGATTTCTTGCAATGTGCCAAAGTACAACAGTCTCAATTTCATAACCTTTTTGCTTCTATTGAGAGTTCAGACTTGATTTGATCTCGGACCCAAGATTGTCTTTCTGGTAGATTCAGTACCTGTAAAGCTTTTCTCCAGCAACACCTTTTAAATGAATCATGTCTCTCTGTTGGCTTTCTTCACTGTCCATCTTTATGTAGTAAACAGGAATACCGTCACAGTCCCCTTGTGAATTAGGGTGAACTAATTCCATCATTCCAGGCTTAACACCCTGATTTTGTTAGATTCCAGATACTAAGCAGATTTGAACTGGGTTAGTACTTGGCTGAGAGACCACCAGGGAATATCAGGAAACTATAGGCAGCGGTAGGAAAAAAAATCCTGAGAGACACTACCAGTCAGAGATCATGATTAGAGATGGGGATGACTCACCATTTTGGCCAGTCGTCCC